CAGTGCGAGAGCAGGAGCAGCCGACCTTCACGAAGCCTCACCTCCTCCTCTGCTGGTGCTCGAGGCTGGGGGCAGGAGAGACGCCACGAGGCAGCAGAAGGGCAGGAGCCAGCACCCAGCCATTTCTTGTGCCAGGGAGCACAAGGCGCCTGTTCCAGCAGACGACGACGGGGCTGGCGACCAGCTGCCTATTGCTTTTTTTTCGGGTGGTTTTTATCGACAGCTCCACCTGAGTCACTCCCAACAGGAAGAGCGCGTGTGCCGTGGGCTGACTCACCCTGAGCAAGGAGCGCCCAGCGCAGGCAGGCGCCCGCCCCATCGACGGGACGCAGCACCCCAAGGACCTCCTGGCTGCACCCTCCTCGGGGTGCTAGCTCCTGGGGAAGAATAAGAGGTAGCTGCAGCCCCTGCAGACGCCCCTCCTGCCCATCCCACTCGCCCAGCTCCATCCCACCTCGCTGTGCTGCCTCCACGGGCAGGGCACCGCTGCGGGCTGGGGAGAGTCGGGCTGTCCGGGCACGCAGGAGGCTTGCAGGGAGCTAAATGAAACACGATGAGCTCACGGGAAGCTCAACCCACAAGAGCAGGGCTCAAAACCAGCCAGAAGAGGGGACTAGTGGGGCTCACAGCCAAGGGCTGCTGGGGATGCCGGAAAGACCCCGAGGACACATACTTAGAAAGCAGATTTATCGGGATTTACCAGACCTAGAAATGGGGCACAGGCAGTGAATTATCACACACATTTGTCTGCTTTAGCTTCTGAGATAGAAACAGCGGTTATATAGGTCATTGGCTTGTCCTAGTACAACCACTTTTTTTTTTTTTTTTTTTTTTTTTTTTTTAAGTGGAGACAGAGAGGGGAAAAGTCTTTCCTGAGGTTGTTGATGGAGCTGGGATGAGGATGCCAAGCTCTGCAGCCCAAGATCTGTTAGCATTTTGGTCTCAGGGGTAGCAAATGAGCCACACAAAGACACAAAGGCCAATTACACTTTGCTCCTCACCTTTGCCTTGGAGGAGGACATGACCACTTCTACAGGGGAAGAAAAAAATCTGGAGACAGATCTCCTACTCCTACGTACACCAGGATAAGTGAAACACAAGCACATCCACCTGACCTGCAAAAGCAGCTCACCAGAGGGTCACAAGGAAGGATGGGCCCTTGTGCTGCATCACAGCACCTCCCCTACTTACTATCACGGGACACTTACTGTCACAAGCGACCACAAGTGGTCCATGAGTGTCTTCAGATGGAATGAAGACACCCAACAAATTTTCCCCCACTCTAAGACACAAGTTGCCTTTTAGGTCACCTTTGGTATTAGGGACCAAAGCTCAACCCAATGGTGCTGACACACTGCTCAATTCAGAGTTAACAAACCTGAGGTGATTAACATTTAGGTTTTCATCTGAGCCTCTTACACTGCCCAACAGCCTCCAGACACTCATGCACCTGGAGTTGACTCAGAGGGCTTTCCTCTGCGGCTCCTGGTGATCTCATGAGTGCAACCAGCCCAAATTCACCACATCTTTGCACCTCCCTTTGCCAAGCTTACCAGCCTCCACTGACTGAGATAACTCTCTTCTGTAAACAGACTGTTTCCTCTGGATTCCACACACCAGATCTTAACATAGTTCACAATAAAGAACCCAGCTTCACAAATGCACTGGGGGTTTTGGCACCCAAGGTTGTTTTATATGAATTTTAGATAATTTTATTTTTTTTTAAGAAGTGGACAAAACCACTTATGATGTTCCCACAGATATGGCAGTTCTTAGGGTCTACTTATTGCTCTAACAAAACACACTCAATCCCTTACACTCTAAAGTACATCACTTGCCCCAAACACCTCTGCTGTGTCCTTCCTGCTGACACCCCTCTGCTCAGGAAACTGAGCAGCTCCCTTAGACCCTGCCCAGCCCAAGTCCTTGGCTGATTTCTGTTTTGGAAGACTATCTCTCACCATCAGGAAGCTTTTCCCTTATCTGGCCCCTCCATGTTACCCCTTCTAAATCATAATTATCACCCCACCTCTTCACTTCTGCAAACAAGGCACTGACACAGCTCTCTCTCCAGTCATTCCTGCATATTTATTTAGGTTACTCTTACCTCGTCATCCTCCACCATCCTTCAAGATCACATGAATGTGTGCCATGAGACTACCAAAAATATATTTTCTGGGGCCCTGATTTTCTAAACATACCAGATCTGGAACAAACTGATGCCTTCCACCCTCCACAGAGCAAATGTTGCTCATTCCAACAACAGCACCAGTTAGAAAAGGTCTCATATAAACACGGTTAACAGAAATGCTACCTTTTTGAGCAGAAGTGTAAGATGGGAGGCATGATGAGTAGTGGTGCTCATCAGGCACTGCAGTGAAACAGTATTTCTTCACTGGAGAGCCCAGGTCTTTTAATCTGCAACCCAAGAAGAGGCCTTCTGAAGATGTCCTATGCTTATTCTTCATAACAGAGCTAAGAAAGCTGCTACTGAAGGGAGATCACCACAGCGAGTGGCAAATTTATCAGCCTGGCCACTTCAAAGATAGCCTAAACCCACATAATAATCTGAATTTTACTGATGGTTGCCAGTGACAAGTGATGGATGTGTGAAGGCCCTGAAGCAATAGTTTTATCGACATAACCAAGGGAGAAAACCCATTTTGGTGGCTCATGACAGATAAACAGCACCAGGATGTTGTACATGTCCTTGCAGCCCAGCTCATCCCTGGCACCCCAAGCCTCCCTCCACAAGGGACCTTCTGAGCTGCAACGTCCTCCTGCAAATGGGGTCCTAGGCTGCTTCTACAGGCTGCCTCACTTCTCCTTCAGTGGCTTATCTTGAGCTATTTTCTGTTTGCTTGCCCACTGTCCTTGCCTCCATGCACCCACTCATCACTGGCCTCTTCAAGCCTGAGGAGCTTCTCCAGTCTAGCAATAGACCTTTATCCTGCCTCTTGGGACTTCCTTGCCGTAGAAAATCAGGGATCCTGCCACAACAATATCACCAAATATGCAGCACAGCTATAAAGCCTGGACTTGTCTCCCCTCTGCCAGATGGGTGCCCTAGGCTTCTCAAAGCAGGTTTAGGGCCAGCACGTCAAGCCACCTTCCCTGTGCCAGTGCAGACGTGGTTCCGATATAGTGCCATTCCCAGACAATCTGGTTTATAACCCAGGATTTAAAAGCATGGTGATATTAGCAGTTGATTCTTTAAAAAAATAAAACAAAACCAACCACAACATACACATATATGTGTGTGTGCATATATCCTCCTTGCTCAGGAACACATGGGCTTCCTGCAGGAGACATTACCTGCTGGCACATTTTGGGTTTACAGCTGGTTTTGGTGGGTCTAGAGGCACAGGTAGGCAGCTGGGGCAGCCCTTGCCTAGGGGTGGCAAAACTCCTGGTGCCAACCAGGGCCAGCTGGAGCAGAGGAAATGATTTGGGCAGAGGCAGACAAGGGAGCAGGCAGGGGTCACAGCAGCAGTGAGCAAGCAGGGCAGGGCAGGGCAGGGGTGGTGGCACAGCAAGGAAGTGCAGTCGTGTCTGGCCTTGCTTCACCTGTGCCCTGCCCATCCCAGCAAGGGGTGAGACAGACAGACAGACATTCTGAGATGAGGGAAGGCAGCAGTGTCATCCCCCCACGTTCCCCCCTCTGCCCCCATACCCTGCAGCCGTGGCTGCTGGGCTTCACTGGGGACCTCCACAGGATTTTTTTGCATGGCATTTGCATGTTTCTCAGACAGGGGCACACTGAGCAGAGAACAACCAAGGAGGGTGTTTATACCTGGACTCCAAAATCTCAATAAAATTTTGGTGACCTGAAAGCAGTCTGCTCCTCCCTGCAGTAGATAGTAGCACATGGCCATTCAATTCCTGTTTCATCACACATGTGTTTCAGAGACTTGGCATAAATTTAAGAAGCCAATACCTTCACCATACTTTGCATTTTTCCCAGGCTTCAGGACAAGTACTGATGCTGTGTGACTTGAAGATAAACTAAAGGGCACAGACTTGCTGCATAAGCTGAGTATTTTAGCCTGAATATGGTAGGAGGCTCCTCATCAAGCTACAACCCATGCAAGGTCAGCACCATCCCACTGCCCAGCTGTGCTCCCCAGCTGCTGCCTACAGTCCCACTGAAACATCAGACATTAATAGCTGGGATTTCCTCAACAGCAATGCTGGCCAAAAAAAAAAAAAAAAAAAAAAAAAAAAAAAAAAAGTTGAAGAACAAGAAGCTGAAGCCAGACAAACTGAAATACAAAAAAAAAATAATGACCTATTGAGAAGGATTAGCTCTGATGCAAGTTAATGAGACATGCATTTTCCTCTGCTGAGAAAAACAAATTCCAATCTGCAGCTGTAGGATGGGGGTGACTGAAGAACTGCTTGGTCTGTTATCACAGTGATCTGTCCCAACATTAAAAACTTCCTTAATTCAGGAGTAAAAAAAAAAAAAAGAATCCTGGGCTCTGGCAGATAGGACCCATGGAACAAGACTATGGCAGTTCCCAGTAGAGAAATTTCAGCTTCTTTATTTAGGGTTTTTGCTTGCCAGGAACCCCAACCTTTTCTGTGTGTTCAGCTGAAAGCAGAAAGGATTTTACCCTTACATTGTCAAGAAATATTCCCCCAAATCCCCAGGGCTTTCCAGGAGGACAGTGCAGCTCCAATACCATCACCACCACCACCAGAATCATTTTTTAAAGCCTGGAAAACTAGCAGTACAACATTTACTGTAGCCATGCTAGTGGAGCAACGGACGTGGGGAAAATACATGATCACTATGGCCATCTGCAGCCTACCCCATGAATTTCCAAATTACTTTTCCCTTTCTTCCACTCCAATCCACATCATATGATTAACTAATTGCAAGGTGAATCTCACAGCTGAAACACATCCCAATCAATACCACCACCACCATGCCCACTCACCCCACCCCCCAATTATTTGGGGGCAATACTCAAAAGAATGCCAAGGATGCCAAGGTATAAGGGGTTACAAATATTCAGACTTTATTATAAATAAGAAATACTGTTTTATACATAAAAACTGCAAGTGTTGCATTTTGTTCACCACCCCAGACAGCAAGACCACAGATTAAGGCAAAAAGCTGGAGTGAAGGCACGTACTGAGGGGGCCACAGCCAGGAATAAGGTGATGAAAAGGGACTGTCACACATTGCCCGTGACATCCAGCACTCCACCAGCAGCTGTCACATCATCACATTATGTAAAGAAATAACTGGACTTATACAATGAATAATGGCTGCAATGCAGTAGTGATTAAGAGATTGCTTATAAAGATTTTTTTTTATTTAAAAATAAAATTCTGTTAAAAACAGATTAAGGGGGAAAAAAAAAAAAAGACTAAAGAAGGAAACCTTAGGCCTGAGGTCAGCCAGGGCATGCGTGCATCTTCACATCCGCTCTTCTCACAGCCTTGGCAGAGAGGTGACACGGTTACAGCCAGCCATCTGACCAGAGCAGCTGGCCAAGACACCCACCCCAACGGCCCACACACGTGAGCCAGCACAGGTAAGCTCTCCTCTGGATATTAAGTGTGTTTGCAGGCAGGGGGAAACTCCAAGCTGGTAAATTGTGAGAATTTCTACGAGAAGGGGTACAAGAGAGATACAGGGTTTGCCGAGAACACTCCCTGCCCAGCAGTGCCACGCCCAGGGTCGTGCTAAGCCTCCTGCAGCAGTACCAAGCTGTCCCCAAGTCCAGCTCTCCCACTACCCCTACACCAGGTCTGGTCACCCACCAGTGCTACAGCTCCTCACAGTCCCGCTGCAAAGCCCCAGCCCTGGCTCTCTCCTCCCGGCACATCCCAGGGGATGGAGGACATGGAGCGGGGAGCTGCCAACGCCATGTGTCAGGGCTGGCTTTGGAGGGAGGGCTAGAAAGCGACCACCCAAAAGGCAATGTGGCTACTGCTGATGCCTACATGGGTGCAAAGGATACGGGAGAGGGAAGAAAGCATGAGCCCAGCTAGGGGAAATGCCGAGCTCCAAGGGAATAATAAGAGAAGCGCCACACACTGCACATGCCCCGATGGCTGTAAGGGAAAGCACATAGAGGAGGCCAGGCTGTGCCACTCTGGAAATATGGCTGAGTATATTTACACACACATACGCACACACGAGAGACTTGCTCACACTATAATCATGATAAAAAAAAACAGAAAAAAAAAAATCACATTCACACAAAAAATATAAATTTGAAATAATTAATAGCACCAGTGTGTGTCAGATAATTTCTTCCCCGCTACGCAAACGTACAAAGTTGCATAGTGTTTAAGGATAGATATATATTGGATCTCAAGGAAGGGGGGAGGGACGCCAGGCTGGAGCAAGGAGGAAGCCACAGAGGATGCTCTTGTATCAGGGGAGGGCCGGAGGAGGGGCAGGGGGCTCCCTGCAGCTCCCACCCAGCACCAGTAAGCAGCTGGGAGGCACGACCTGGACAGGGAGCCGTGGCGGTGTGAAATGCAGACCTGCCACCCGAGCCTGGCCTGAAGTCCCTGTGCCACGGTGGCTTTACAGTGACCGTGAGACCAGTAGGCAAAAAGAAAGGAGGGCACCAGTAAGCTCCAGCTCTTTCTGCCAGCTTAAAAACACACAAGAGGCAAGAGCAATGCTAGAAGATATAAAAATGCCACTGTCCTTCAGGAAAACCATGGGGAGAAAGACCTTTTCATTTCCATTTGCATGCCCCTTCCTTCCCCATTCAAAGACATTCAGTGTGAAGGCAAGTGCTGCCATCAGAGCTCTTTGGATGGCAGCTCCTCTTCAGCAAGATTTTTCCTGCCTGAAGCAACTAATCCATCAATCAGACCTTCACAGCCTAAAACCACCCCAGATCCTCTGTCAATTCAGTAGCAACACCTACGGATGGGAAGGATGGGAACGCAGCTCATGGCTTCCATACTTCCCGGCCTGAACTACCCGGCAGGCAGCTGCTTACAGACCAGACCCAAAACTTCTCCACAAACCAGGAGTGGAGTTGGCAAGACCTTTTGCTCCACCAGTAAAGACCTACCGCTCCACCAGAATCCCATCTTCCCAAAGAGCTCCTCTCAGAGGCTGCATTTTTCTCCGAGTGATGCATCATCACAGAGAGCATTTCAGAAAGAGGCTTCAGCTATTTTGTCAAAGGCTACCAATGCTGTCAGATTGGCCACTAGTTAATGATAAAAAAAATACGTTCACAGGGTTAGAAGTTGGGAAGAGGGATCTGAATGAGTGCAGCTATACTGGCCATTACAGTAATACTTTGGTAGCCATCCCCTTCCTTCACAGGGAGAGAGCGCTCTGGGACCAAGGATTTTACAGTTGAGGAGAGAAAAAAGGAGAGAAAGAAGGGTTAGTTTTGCCTTGCTGTACACAGCTCACATGGTTATTTCTGAACCACAGTATAAAGAGTCCAGAGCATCTCTCATCCTTGCGCTAATCAAAGGGAAACTGTGTCTGAGAAAGGGGCAAAGGCAGAGTGCTCAGGAAGACAATTTATATAAAAAACCCTTTGATGCCCAAAGACGGATATTTAGTTTGCTTCTCTTTAAAAAAAAAAACAAAAACAAAAACCCTTTCAGCTTATCCTGATTTGAAAAGAAAACAGTGGCTGCGAGGAGCGAAGAGTTGGGGATTTGAAGAATAGGTAATGTGTGTTAAGGCACTCCATAGCCAAACCACTGTTCCACCGCTCACCAGAGGAATACCCCTCACCCCCAGCACACCCTTAGGGTTTCTCTATGGACGGGGTGTTGAAACAGCCAGACGGCAAGGTCTTCTTGATGTCCTCCAGGTTGTTAATGTCCTTCAGGATCTCTTCAATGTCCCTGTTGTAGGCCTGTATCGCATCATCTTGCTTCCTGGCTTCCCTCTCAAGGAAAGACACTTTCTGGTCCAGGTCGCTACCTTTCATCTGGTCTTTGGCATTGTTCAGGGTACCCTCAATTTCATTCAGTTTGTTCAAGTCCACTGTCTCCAATTGCCCTGAAAAGCCAGAAACAAATAGCGAAGTCCATTAAAAAACCTTTTATGCTCTGATTTTGAGTGCTTACAAAGGCCTCCATCTGGCCATCTGTGCATTAGAAACAGCATTTAAAATGGGACTGACCAAATGAGCTACACCTTCAGTGCCTCAAACACGGTCCTCAGATTACAGAAAAACAGTATTGAATATTGCATAATGAGCTCTGAAGCTACCCCAGGAAAGAAAAAAAGTCCTCATTGAAAACACACAAACCCCATTTCTAGAAGTCAAGAGACCCATTTGATTTCTCGCACAGCGCCAGCAGGGAAGCCACATCAGGAGAACACTCAAAGGTGTCTGGCCCATTAAGGACAGTCTTACCTAACTGATCCAGCAGCTCATTAATGACAGCGAGCAAGCTGTTCACAGAGTTCTTTGCTTTTCTTGCATTGTCTTCTGCCTCCTGGGCAGCCTGTGAGGCCTGCAGGGTATAAAAAAAATGAGAGTACAAAAAAGGCTGTAGAGATTATGGAACCGTTGCCTCTCCTATTCACAGGTCTGCCCAAGCCATCAGTCACACACATCCCTGGCCTGTCTCTCCAGGGTAACACTCCTGCACTGTGATCTTTCTCACAGTGCTGGCAAAGACTGGCAACTGTCAAGTCATCAGCTTTCTGATTATTTCAGGATGGGGATCCCTGATAACAGAGCAGGATTTTGCAGGAAAATTCAGATCAGAGTCAACAGGGCTACAGTCAGGTTTCAGTTAAAATAAAAGGGAAGTGTTGCAGTAAGAAAACAAGCTCTCAAAATCCAGCAGGAAACCTATGCTAGTGCCACCAGAGGAGCTCCTTTACTCGTCTCATGTTTTCAATCCTACTTAAAACTTGAAGACTGAATACTGGCTGGACCCAGCACTGTCTTTGCAAGAGGACAGTGGGGGAAAAAAAAAAAGCTTGTGTTGCCAGGACAGCAGGGAGAAGGCAGCTTCTTGCCACTGCTGCCACCAGCCAGCACTACTTACCATCCCTGCCATCATCATGTCCTGATCAGCATCATCCTGCTTCCGTTTCAGCTCTTTTTCTGCATTCTGTAGTTGCTTCATCATGTCATCCACTTCTCTGGCCAGCCCCGTCACATCAGCAAAAGTCTTGTCAGCTTCAGCCTTGGTAGCAGCAGCACTCTACAGCCAACAAGGGGAACAGAATGGAAAAAAGGTGGTGAAGGTGCAGAACTTCCTTCAGTCCTCTTCATCAAAATGCACCAATTTTCTATCACACCATGTTTTGCATTCCTTAGTGGGGAGAAGGCTCACCAGGAAATAGTGGAACAGAGTTTACGCAGTTACACACCAATACCTGAGGGAGGGTGGCTTCAAAACTGCAGGGAACTCACCTTCTGAACAGAAGCAGCGATTTTCTCAGCATCATCTGCTCTAGTCTTGGCTTCACGGGCATCAGTGGCAGCATTGCCAAGCGCCAGCTCTGCCTGGCGTGTCTTATTGTTGGCTTCAGCAATGATCTGGGTAATGGCAGGAATCTTTTTCAGTGCCTCCTCAGCTGCTGTCTTGTTATCATTCACCCGCTTATCAAAATCTAAGAAAGGGCAAAACAGATTCTTATCGCTTGCTCCAGAAGAGCCTTGGGGTGCTTCTGTGACCAAGCTACCCAGGCTTTGCCACCTTGTGACATGAGAGGGACAAAGAGCAGAGGGGGGGGTGGGGTGGTGTTGCAACTCTCCCTATTACACATCTTCTGACACTAAATAGGGAACTTAAAGAGAAAGAGATTTCTAGTCACTGAACACACTTATTTCTATAAAGAAAAAAAAAAAGGTCAAGAGAACCCACTCAATACTCAGGTACTGGCAACAGGATGGCCCATTTAACCAAGACACCCTACTGCCAAGTGACTTGTCACTCAGAAATTGAAGGATTCAATGCAAGTGATTTCTCTTTACCCTTCAGGTTGCTGAGAATGGTATTAGCCTCCTGTAGTGTGCCGTTGCCCTTCCGAGCAGCTTCTTCAGCCAGGGCTTTCGCTGCATCTGCTCGAGCCAAGAGCTGGTCTGCTGTCTAAGGAGACAAAATGCATCAACATATTCTTACCTTTTGAAGGATGACCACCTAGGTGCATCAAAAAGCATTGCTCAAAAACAATTGATCAAAAAGCCTGAAACACCAACGTCGTACAGAGCCGTGTTGATCCCTGAGTGGCAATGCTTCCTCTGAAACCAGGTGAATTTAGGTACTTTTAGCATACCGTTCTGAATACAAAGACAACACCACATCCCCTGTTCTCCCATACAGCCTCAATGCCATTGCTTTTACCAGCTTTTTGCATCTGCTTTCCAGGACCATTCTTCTGTAAGTAACAAGCAGCGCCAAGATAAGACTGATTAAGACCAGATCTTTCATATCTGGCCAGTTACTTGTTTCCCTTTGTTTTTTCCAGGGAATAAAATCCCACACAAAACAGAACTGACCTGCTGCTCTGTCCTGCCTTTCTCCAAGAGGTTCTTTACTTCGAGCTCCTTTCCTTTCATGTCTTCTCTCAAGTTCTCATAATCTTTTAGCTTCCTGGCAATCAGCTGATCTAACTCCTCTGCTTCCTTCTTGATCTTATTTGCTTCATTCTGCAGGTGGAAATCAGGAACAAACACAGATTCCTGACACTGAAGAATTTCTGAACAGGTGGCAAAACATGGTATAGTTTCTAATGGTCAAACAGGCAGAAGCTATGACAGGTTCCCACCCCTTACAACTACAGTTGTAACTTTGAGCCTTCAAAGCTCTGAATACCACAAGGGTCAGTGCAAACAAAAGACAGAGGTTGCAAACAGTTTTGTGTGCAAGAAAGTCTACTGCACTACAGAAGAGGGAGCAGTTTTTCAAGCTTCAGAAGGAATTGAAAATTTTGCCGTTCTCTGTTCAAGCCAAGATGTTTGGCAAACATTTCAGGGTTTTTTTTGTCCTTCAGAGACTGGGGGAGGTGGGGGTTTATGTATGTAGTTTCCTGAATGCAAGCCTCCTTCATAAAAGCTGAAATGCACCAGTCTGGATTATGACTAGATGGACAAAAATTCCACAGACTGTTCTTATGCAATTAGAACATTAGCCACCTAGCACACTGCTATAATGTCTGTCCTCACTGCTCTTTAGAAAACACTGCGCAGGACGCTTCCCACACGTACCTCCAGCCCTGTGGAATCCACAGTCGGCAGACTGGTGAGATTAGCGTAGATCTGCAGGGCTTTATTTCCAGCTTCCTCTGCCTCTGCAAGCACCTTGTTGGCCTGCTTCTCTAGGTCTCGAGAAATGGTCCTTGCTTGATTATACCTAAAAAATCCCAAGAATCCAGTTACATTACAATTTTTTTTCTGTAGAACTGAACTTACTAAAGAATAGGGAGGATAAGAAATGGAAAGACAACCCCCATAAAACCCAAAGCGTGCAATGCTACAGGATGCATCTTAATTTTAAGCACTGATCTAAAGCCAGAAAATACAACTAACTGTCTGTTACTGACTCACTTCTGGTTGAGCTGATCAATGTCATCTGCAGTCTGGTTTTCTCGAGCCAGGGTCTTCAGCAGGAGCTGATATGCTTCTGTGGAAGTATCATTTGCTGCCTTGGCTGTGCGAACAATCTCATCAGCTTCTTTTTTGTGTCTGGACAAGATTACAAGAGAAAAAATATGCTATTAGAATGGTTTCTAGCCTCAATTTCAGATTTTATTCCCTCTTCCAAATTTTATTCTCTCTTATTTCTCCTTCCTTCACCCACATTTGCATACGGAAGATGCTGTTTGAGACCATCTCCGCAACCAAGGCCTCACTCCAGCAGCACCATGAGATCAAATGAAAGGCACCACTATAGCTGTACATCCCTCATTCACATGTCTAGGGTTTGCCCCCTGTGATACACAGGCATGCACCCACATTGCCAGTCTCTTACTCAAAGGGCGTGTGTTTTGTAGCAAGCAAATTAAATTAAATTTTGCTTCCCCCTTGTGGGGAAGAGCAGGGCCCTCATGTGACCTGTGAGAAGCCTACCTTTCAGCCAGTTTACGGGCCTCTTCTGCCAAGAGGGTCATGTTGTTAGGGTCCCCACTTGACTCCGGAGGTGTAATGGACTGGGGAAAAAAAAAGGAAAAAACCTTAAAGCTCTTTTTTCATCTTTTATTCATCTGTTCTTTAGATATTTATTGTCATGATTTAAATGCTTAGAGATGTGTCTAACCTACTTCTGACTTCTCTGTATTTTTTTTCTTAAGCCCATGCAGTTTCCACCACTGGTTATGCCTTAAAAACAAAGGGGTGGGTATTTATGCTGATATTTAATTAGCAGTTCTTACATTGGTTTCTTTGAAGAGGGGCTAAGATACAATTTATGACAGACACTGGTGATCCATCTTTATTTCCCATGATCTTGGACAGGGGAGAAGATAATTCCATAGCAACTTTGCTATATGAGAGAGAGAACAAGCAGAGAAACACCCCAGAGGGCAGAGAAAGGAAAGGCTCTCTCCTCCCCTAACCATGTGGGACCTTGGCAGCACACTCACCACGTTGGCAGCTGACATCTTTGCCTTCTCAAGCATGTTGGAAGCTAAGCTGATCAGATCCTCTGTGTCCTCCACCCGCACCCGGGCTTGCTCTGCCAGGTTCTCTGTCTCCTGCACTGTGCCCTGGATGTTCCTCAGTCTGTTGAACTGACTTGCTAGTGTGCTGTTGATGTCTTTGAGACGATCCACCAGGCCCTGATCTACGTCTAAAACACAAGATATGAGAAAGAGGAAGCAAAATTAATTACAGCAGGAAGAGAAGCCGCAGCAGCAGCTTACCACTGCAGGCAACACGTTGGTAGGTTAATCCCTTATTGAAAGGGGACCAGCAAAGCTGCTTCATAAATCAGTCAGCTTGAGATCAAAGTAATCATCAGAATGTGCACCACATACGAGAAATGAAAAGTCATTAACAACTAATAATACGGAGTCTGTTGGAACAGACTCTGATGGGGAATTTTGTGTTCAGAATCATGTTTCATCTGTACCATTGACTTAAAAAAAAGACAATAAAACCGCTCCTCAAGAGGTATGAAATATTAGCTTTAGATTTACTTCAACTTAACTCCTAGAAGGTAAGTGGGATATGAAGGAATAGTGGGGCTGGCCATTATTCCCTGCTTTGGGCAGTGGTGGCTACTCCTGAGCCAGACAGAGTCTCCATGTGCAGAATAGCAAACCCACCCCAAACTGCCCCCCAAAGTGAAGGGATGACAAAAGCTAGCAGGATAGAGCCTTGGTTTTCTAATCTGCAGGACCTCTGAGCCCCAGACTTCCCCAAATCTTTGGACCACCAGGGAACTCCCACAACAGCATCTTAATAATGGAGCCATAAAAGCACAAATATGTGCCTCATGATCAGGGGCAATTACTTCTGAAAAGCTGAGTACAACCAGAAGTCTACAGGCCTCCAAAATCAAGATTCTTGCCAAATATATTGCCTTGACCTTGCAGCACATCTTAAGTATTGAACATGAACATTTGACACATTTTAAAAACATACCACAAACTATTTAACAAGTAGAAAAACACAAGTAAGTGCTACAGGTTGGCAGAGATTTTTGCAAGGTAGTTTTTGTTGCATTTAACTTGCCTCTTAGTTATGGAACATCAACAAAGCTGGTGATGGGTCTAGAGCACAAATCCTGTGAGAAGCAGCTGAGGGAACTGGGGGTGTTTAGCCTGGAGAAGGTAAGGCTGAGGGGAGACCTCATCGCACTCTACAACTACCTGAAAGGAGGTTGTAGTGAGGTGGGTCTCAGTCTCTTCTCCCAAGCCACAAGTGATACGACAAGAGGAAATAGGCTCAAGTTGCACCAGGGGAGCAGACTGGGTATTAGGAAAGATTTCTTCACCCAAAGGGTTGTCAAGCACTGAAAGAGGCTGCCCGGGGAAGTGGTGGAGTCACCATCTCTGGAGGTATGTAGAAGACGTGTAGATGGTTTAGTGGTGGACTTGGCAGTGCTCGGTTAACAGTTCGAATTGGTGCCTAAAGATCTTTTCCAACTTAAATGATTTTATGGTAGTAAGAGGAGGAAATAAAGATGAAAAATGCCACCACAAAACCCAATCCATTCCCTCACCTTTCTCCAATCCCCACCCTCCTATCCTGCTACATGGGACTATTATCTAGGCATGGATGCCAAGCAGGCAGTATAAAGCTACCTCAGCTAAAACTGGGAATAGCTTCAGTGATCATTCCCAGTGGCAAGAATCTTCCCAAGCAAACACGTTAGATGCACATCGGCTCTTTCTCAGCTTCATGCAAAAGGAAGAGATTTTTCCAAAAAGTGGTTTAAAATCACTGAACCAATTCCCACGGGAACACCTTTCACTGCAAAGTCAGTAGTTTCCTTCAAGCTGCTCTTCTCCAACACACATTGGCTTATATGTTAAAAAGACCCTAAGGACAAATCACTTCTCACAGACATCCTATGGTAGAGCTGACTCTGAAAGAATCAATTTGAAGCAGAGTTTTAACAGGTAAATAGCTACAGGCCACCACAACAGCGATTTTCAGAACATTATACACTTTATGGTAGGATAATTAAGCTTGCCAGCAGGATTTTGAAGCCTTCATTCTGATGACATCCCAACAAGAACTGCTTTATGCCAAGACGTCTTGAGCAAATTTATAAGCATAGTAAGTATATTGAAAAGTCTTATGCTTTAACAAGATAAAAACCCTCCTTTGCATCTGGAGAAAAGGGTAACACATAAACCACTTGCATCTGTACAGAGCTAGAGGCAGATCTTTGCATGTACAACAGAGACCACTGGGAGAACAGTAGGGATAAAAGCACAGCCACCGCTGTTTTGATAACAACATACACTGTCTCAGCACCATCTGAAATAGCTGTCTGTCCTGGTGCACAGCATAGGCTTGAAATAAAACACACTGTGTCCAAAGGAAACTGGAACATTAGGCAAAGAGCTCATTTCATGTTGGTCCGTGTCTGATCGGATCAACTCACCTTTGCTGTTTTGTGCTTCCCGGAGCAATTCCATAACATCTCTTTCTGTCTGCTTCAACCTCTCTTCAAAAGCTTGATCAGTTACAGTTTCTTCTCCTGTACCCAGATTTGCTATAATATTTTCCAGCTCCTGCAGCCTCTCTCTTTGCTCTGCCACCTACACAAGAGTGAAAGAGCACAGCTACAACACGGAGCAAAGAAGCTCTCTACTTTCAGCAAACAGCCATCCAAGGGCATAAAAGCCACAGCACAAACAGGCAAGTGCCACTGTCTCCAGCAGTACCAACAGTGATGTCTGTGGCCTTACCTTATCTTTCACTAATCTGTAACAGGCCGGACACTCTTGGCAGCCTGGCCACGAGCGGTTATAGAAATAGTTCTCTTCACACTGGTCGCAGCGGCTCCCCACGAAGCCTTCCTTGCACTCGCAGTGACCGTTCTCCCAGCACTGCAGGGAGCGTGAACCCTCGGGATCACAGTCACAGGCTGCGGGGAAGTTAAACCTCAGTCATGCTGGAGGAGAGGCAGAGATACCCTCAAACCCACAGGGCAAGAGCATACCCTCAATACCCTTAAAACATCTGCAGGAGCACCAGGGGACAAACTGACAGCTGGAGCCCTGCTCCACAGCAGGGCACTCTGGCTGCAACATTCATTGCATGTGTTCACAGTGCTGTTACTGCCTCTCCCACAAAGCATTATATTTTTCTATTATAATTTCCTACCCCATTTCACTGTAACCAACAGCACTTAATTTTTCTGCTCTTTACAGGCAGCAATATCAAAGAGGAAAAGTTTTGATCATCATCTTTCAATTGTGTTTACAAGATCTGTTGCTTCTCAAGACAGAATTTGTATATTCAGGCTATTTGCAGAGTAGCTGTGCAAAGATTTAAGATTAGAAAACAGGTCTGCTACAGGATAAGATTCAGAGAATGTATTTAGAGTGAAGTGGGTATCTAATAAACTGGAGTTCTTCCTACCCCCTATTTAAAAAAAAAAAAAAAAAAAAAAAAAAATCAAAGTTCAAGGGGATAAGCTATTGTACAGAAATCAAATTTCACCATGTGGGGTGTGGACATAAAAGTGCCAACTTCTACTGTGACAAAGAGCAAGGTGGAGAAAGTACCTTCGAAGAGACAGGAGGAAAGCAAAGGCAAGGCTGGCTGTGCAACACCCTTCCTGTCTGCCTCACTCCAGCCTCTCAGACTTACGTTTACAGCCTTCGGAGCTGAAGCCGAAGTGATTGACCTCACATCTGTCGCACTGCTGGCCGGCAACGCCGGGCTGGCACTCACACTGCCCAGTGTGGATGTCACACTGGCCGTCGGTGGAGCCCAGCGCATTGCAGCTGCACCTGAGGGAGGAAGCCACATGTCATGTGGTGACACAGAACAGGGGAACGGGGGAAGCACTCCTCCAAAGGAGCCTAATGAGCACAGCTCAATGCCTCCGTTTGCCAAAAGTCACTTTTCTCATTGCGCAGATGCAGGAGGTGAGACACAGAGCCTTTGAACCACACATGGTCACTTGGTGTTTATACTAAAAAAAGGAACCCACCAGCCCCTGCTACCAACAGTCACAGAGCTATGTGGCACTTTTCTATTTAAAACTCCAATTTAGTTCTATTTGTAAGTCAGGCTTTTTGTACAGCCTTCATAGCTGCTCCCTGACTACTGCTCTTCCCCACCCATAGCAGCATTGAAGCACACCAGTTACATGTGACAAACATCATGTTCCCACACAAGGTAAGCACAGACTCGCCCCTAGAATTAGGCTCTTTACCCTGAGCCAAGGCAAAAGTCACCTCTCACAGCCATGTCCACTCTGGAGGTTGAAGAAGCCAGGCTCACAGGAACTGCAGTCCCTCCCGGTGACATGAGACAGGCACTCGCACTGCCCCGTCACTTGATTGCAACTTGTCTGCTGATTCACAGTGCCGTAGGGATTGCAGTGACAAGCTGCAAAAATAAAAGGTATGGAGAAACATGCAGAAATTTAGAAGTTCCTTGTGGTGTTGGTACTCTGCTAGCTGGTCCCTAAACAGGCCTGGATCCAAACCATGCAGCAGTCCAGCCCCTGCATCACCCAATGGTTTTGCCTCAATGGCAGTAAGCACCTACAAATACAAGCATTTTAGCAATCAAGAACCACCAAACCAGGATAAGAGATGGGCATGAATAACAGCCTGATGTTGTGTCCTAACAACACATCAGGGAACAGTAGCTCCTGGGGACAAAACCATTTTTAAATGCAAGAGGAACCGTTTCCCACCTCTGCACTTGTCGACAGGATCAGGGGCCAGGGGGTTCCCGAAGAAGCCGTCTTTGCAGCGGTCACAGTAGAAGCCAGCCGTGTTGTAGATGCACTTGAGGCACTCGCCCGTCTGGCGGTCGCAGTTGCCCACGGCATTGGGATCGATGTTGTCGTTGCACTGGCAGAGGCGGCAAGGCCTCACAGCACCATTTTCACCCAGCGGGTCTCCGAAATAGGCATCGTCACACAGCTCGCACCTCTTGCCTGGGACACAACAGAAACACACGTGCTGCAGCAGAAAGCTCTTGGCTCAGGTCTCACCCAGACCTTCTTTGCAGCCCCTTCTGAAAAGGAAACACTCCACCTTCCCTTTCTTTCTTCCATTGAGGCCAGAAAGGGGCACAACACCACATGCAAATCCCTCCACATCTCTAAATTTAAGCTGCTTTTTCACCGGAACTGCATTATTAATTATTTCTGCTCCTTCTTTCCCTCCTATCCCTTTAAGCCAAACCTATCTGTTGCAATTTGTTGTTAATTTAAGAGTCCAAGCGGGTAGAGCTCTGTGGGGCATCACTACTCAAGGAAGCCCCACTGCCAACAAGATCTGTTAACCCTCCACAGGCAGCCACTGAAGCATCCAACTTGGCAGCTCCCTACACTTAAGCAGATTTGACCTCCCCAGCCAGCTATAAGCTCTATTTCTTGAGCAGTTCTTGTATACACAAACCCTCTTTTCCCTCACATCCCAAAAAGGCAAGCAGGAGATAGGAGGTCTCTTTATCACAGAGTACATATGAGCTTATACTGACACCTGAGCTGCAGGGAACCCAGACCCCTCAACTTCACTTTGGTTCACGAAGCAGTGGTACCCACAGGAACCCCCATGAGCTGTCTCTGTGCTTGGTACAGGGCTTTTCTAAGCATTTCAAGCATTCAGGTATTCTGTACTTCGGACTCTGCCATGCCATGCATAAAATCAGCAGAGAAGCATGGAAGCTGCCAACCATCTTAAGGCTTCCTTGCTGTTGCAGGCAGAACAAAAGGATATGCTTAACAATGCAGGTACAGGCTCGCACTTCATGGTTATTGCTAAGAAAACATGATCTGTACCCATTCACATATTCCTCTTTAAAACTGCTGACCATAAATTTGGTCTTGTATTTTTTTGGGCAACGTTTGTGAGTCACTGCAGCCTTCCTGCTTCTCCTAGTAAGGGCACTGTCTCTCCCCAGCAAGCATCTCACAGTGCCTCTCCGGATGGCAAAACTGCATCTTCTTATTTCAGTCTGACCCACCTTCCTGGCTCTTTTATATCTATCCTATTTCTGCCCAGCACCATGCAATTAACAGAGCTCTATTAGAAGCTTGCACAGCTCACCTACATAGCATACAGATTAACCCTCTGTTTCCTTTTTGTTCTTGAGACACAGGCACAAAGAACAAGGGTAACCCTGAGCCTCATGCAGGACAGAAAATCGGCTGAGAAAGGGAGAAGGACTTGAAGCAGAAGACACAGCAGCTTTCAGTGCTGCTCACTACGGGTCAGAGCCCCCAGACTGGCAGAAGACTCATTTCTACAGGCATATAGGGTGTAGAAAAAAAGACTTTTCATGTAGAAACACACCTGTAGTGCCAGCCTGGCAGTTGGTGCACACAACCTCCTTCGTGCGGGGCACGATGGCACAGCTCGAGCTGCCTGGGCATGGGCAGGGCTGGCAGTCTGAGGCCATGCCCACTGTCGCATCTCCGTAATACCCATCACTGCACTTCTCACAGTGAGACCCCGCTGTGTTATCCCTGCAATTGCACACACCTGGAATAGAGGGGAATGTGGTTTTTGCTTCATCATCCAACCCAGAAAGAACCACCACCCTCCCGCTGCTCCCTGCTTTACCAGCCCCTCTTACCTGTCTCGGGCTCACATGTCTCACTGTGCCCGTTGCAGGCACAAGGCACACAGGGGCTGTAGGGCCCAAGGCTTGGTGTCTCTCGCCGGTACCCGGAGGAACAGCGCTCACAAAACTGCCCCTCATATCCTGCTGGACAGGAGCAGCTCTCCACCCAGGCTGCGGGCACACCTGGTCCAGGACGAGCGCTTGTGATGGTAACGTCATCCAGGTGGCCAGCACCTGGAAAGCAGCAAGAGGGGAAATGCTTTGTAACCACAAAGGCTCTGATTACCAGTTCACCAAACACACATCTGGATGCTACAAGAGACAGGCAGGTGGATGCTTGCCGCTGGTATGGTGAATCAGGGAGAAAAATCCTCCAGGAAGGTTTAGACAGATGAGAGACAATGCAGTATAGCTCTCAAAGGACATGCACAGGGCAGGGAAGTTGAGAGTAACAATACAGAGGAGGATCCTGAGAAAAGCACATGAGCAACTACAGTCAAAATAAGTCACATTCTATATGCATACGTTTTCCATTTCAAATCAAATATCAGAACCAATTCCTGTACCATCTCTCTAGCAATTTTAATACACTGTCTCTTAACACAGAGTCTGTAAACTGTGCCTCAGGGCAAACACTTCAGCTATTTCTCTCAATCCATTCCTTCATCTGGCATTTGAGCACTCACCCCCCCCACCCCCCCTC